AGTTGGTAATTCATTCTCATCTGTGTGAATTGGTAATACATTCTCATCTGTGCGAATTGGTAATACATTCTCATCTGTGTGAATTGGTAATATATTCTCATCTGTGTAAGTTGGTAATACATTCTCATCTGTGTGAATTGGTAATACATTCCCATCTGTGTGAATTGATAATACATTCTTGTGTATATGAGTAAACTGTTTTTTACTGAGTAAAGAAGCTCTGAAATTCCAAGAAATACGTTACACTTTTGAGTAACAAATGTAACAAATTTGATTATTGTTTCGCTCATATTTAATATGTTGAGTTTCTACGAACGACCTAGAGGCAAAATTGACTACTTTGAGACGTTTTGAGCAGATTTAAATACTTTTAAATTGTTTCATTACATCTAGAGTGTGATTATCGTGTGATAAAAACGCTAATTTGGTTGAAAACTTAACAGTGTTCGTTAGATGAAAAAAGTACGCACGCGCCATGGATTTACTATACGTAAACTTCTATACGTATATGTTATTTGTGGCGCATGCGCACTTGACAATGTGCCTATCCTATTGTTTTCATCAAGTTGTAATACGAAATACATCTAAAAACATTGTTGTCAATTGTTTCTTTTCACTCGTGTGACCTGGGTCAAGGTCAAAGGTGAGGACAATACATGGGAAGAGAAAGACACTCAAAGGCCCATATTTTCACCCGAAAATAAAAAGTAGTGTTATTGCAAACAGCTTTATATTGTTTATGTTCTTTGCAGTATGTGTGTATATACATGTATAACTAGTGTTTGAGTCTACTCATGTGTGTATTTAATAATAATATAGAAATGTATAATTGAGCAGATGAAAAATATTCAATTTGGTAAGCCTGCTAGATCTAATGAGTCAGAATTACTATTCACAAAAGCAACTAGAGATGCAGCAGTACAAGAAGTTGTTGAAAGTATGTCCATATCTTGTTCAAGGCAGCGAACATTCTACGTAAATCAATAGCATTATATTTATGTAATCCGTGGAAATTTGAAAGATCTCTAAAGGGAAAGATACTGAAGGTCACATGCAAATACAACTTTCCAGTTTTCTTCGTTGGGTTTTCGTAGGGCCAACAGCTATGATGAAAGACGATATACATGATGAAACAGTTAAGCAAAGTGTGGCAAACATTTCTGATATAATAATACACTCATTCAAGACAAACCGACAAACATCCTACAAGTCTAAGATGGATCAAGCTATATTCAGGGACAGGGGTGGTGAATTTCCCCTATAGCTTGCTGTGGATCCATCAGTCTACACGTAACTGAGGACTAGCGGAATTTATGCATGGTTTAGGGTTATCTGTTGATTACAGCCGTATCCTACGTTTGGAGACTCAACTAGCAGAATCTATTATCCAGAAATCACAAGATGGACTATACATTCCACCTGGTCTGAAAGAGGATGAGTTTCTGTTCTTTGCTATAGACAACACAGATTTCAGCGAAGAAAGAGCAGATGGTAAAAGAACCATCCACTCAACTGCTACAGCAATCATCCAACGAAGTAAAGACAATGACATTACCCAAATCCACATTGCACCTGTAAAGTCAACAAGAAAGTCATTGAATCAAATAGTTGAACCCAAGCGCATTCCTTGTCACAAAAGCAAAACCGATGAGTAAAACATATGAGCAATACAGTGTGAATGCGAATAAAGCCTTGCTTGAGCATGCCAGATATTCAGATGTACAATGGCTTCTTGCAAAGTCATTAGTTCGTGCAAACAACAACAACAGCAGTAAGGATGGTGACCAATCGAGAGAACATATCCCTCCATGGGCAGCTTACAATTCCCTGATGACTGATGAAATACCAAGTACCAATGTGTATCCACTCCCACTGCTATCTGCCTCACATATTGACTGATCTTTTCTGCTGACAGTGTTGAAACAAGTGGAGAATATAAATACAGCAAGGTCACAAGACTGTCATTACTTTTGACATGCAGTTTTATCAACAGGCTAAACAAATGGAAATGACAAGGGACGACTTTTAAGTTCTTAAAAGAACAAATGGTATTGATGAAGCTTAGATAGAAACTGGCTTGTTTGGTTCCACCACAGTTAGGCATATCATTCAGTGTAAACATATGGAAAGATCATTAAATACTCACATCACAACAACACAAGCACTTTTTGATTTGTTCCTGAATAGCTTTCTTACAGGCAAGCCAAAACTCCGAGTCACTTGCATAGCCACTCAACTGAATCAAACCTGTGAAATGTCCCCAGATTAAGTCAAAAGTGTGCAACATTAAACATCATTGATCTTTCAACAGAACTTCTTTGAGCTCTAAGACGATTATATTACTTTGAAAGCAGATTCTCAACCAATGTTCAAAGTTGTATTTCATTACATAGAATTTGTAATGCTCCTTTTATCCTTTATACGAGCTACAAGACAATGATTATGAAAAATGCACCTTGATAGTCTGGAAGGATTAGCAAAGTACTGTTTTTGCATATGACATACTTAATTATGCAAGGATGGTCCTTTTGTATATAACGGAAATGAAATCCCTGGAACAAAGTGACCCTGAAGTTTGGAAAGAGTTCATGACATGGAATTTTGTAGTGAATACCATTCTGCTCCATTGGTGCCGATCATGCAATTGAGCATGTGAACAGAGCAATGAAGGTCTTGTGTGGTCTTGTTGAGATTACTCTAAATGAAAGTGCTCGTGCTAGATTCTTTATTAGCACGGCTAAAAGAAGAGGCAAATGAAATAGCCGGCATGAACTGTCTCCCAAAATCATTGTAAGGCAAGGGACTCAAATGAAGAAACTTACTGAAGTGTTCAAGACAAACATTAACCCATTCAAATATGAAGGTGATACTTTAGTGAACATTGTCACTAATACCATGATGTCACCAAAAGTAAAACAAAACCTGTGTAATCAAAACACCATTGGTGAAGATAGCTATAATAAATTTGTGAAAGAACGCATAATTAAAGGAGAAGTTAACCTTTGGTCGCCAATGAAGAAAGTAAAACTTCAAACATAGAAGACCTCTGCAAAATCAGTTACACAGAAAATGGGTGACAAGGTGATAGAAGTGAATGTTCTTGAATCACTTAGACATTATGAATTCTCTCCCATTGCAAGAGCTTTATTTGATTGTACAGGAAAACTACTACCTTGTACAGACAAAAGTAAGCTAATGTCTGATGCAGTTAAGCGAGGCTCAACAAAATTGGTCATTCAGTCTCCAGACACTGATGTATTTATCCTTGACATCCACAGGTTCCCAATGCTTAGTGATGAAACATGCTTTGTGACTGGTGCAGGTTCATTACATCGGGTAATTCCATTAATGCCAATATATCAAGCGCTTGGTGAGAGAAAAACTGCAGTACTACCAGGGTTTCATGCTTTTACTGGTGCTGACCAACCTGGTCGTTTTGCGGGAAAAAGGAAGATTAGCTGCTGCAAAGTAATTAGGATGCAAATGATAGTATAATAGATGACATTTGCTGATTTGGGCAAACATGAATTGATGGAGTAATAAATGCCCTTGAGAAGTATCTGTGCCAACTCTATGAACCTTGAACATCTGTTGTAGACATTGCAGTACAAAGGTGGAATCTTTTCAGTCAGATACAAGTAGAAGCAGAGAGAGTGCTACCAACTAAAGGAAGTCTTTTGCAGGTAATACTCAGGGCACACTATCAAACAATGATATTGAAAATGACTTCCATTCTTCAAATAAAATACTTGATTCCGACGAGAATGAAGATGCAATAATTTAGAAAACATTATATTATCATCTTTTGATACATTGATGATTAAAATTAGATTGTAGATTGTGTACTTCACTTTGGCGTAAGTTAGTAAGTAGGCAACATTTTTAAATTATAGGCAGTCCTGTATTACTAATCCTTTTTACTATATCGAGTCTGTGACCATGACAACATTATGGTTTAATAATTATTCATAAAAACCTTAGTTTTACGATACTGGAGTATGGACATAGCAAATTCACTGATAATCAAGATTCAACTTTTTGTAACCTGTAAATTTAGTGGCACAATAACTTAAAGCAACTATGTTTAATCCTAAAAAGTGCCACTAAAATCACATTTATTACTATTATTTTCAGTTAATCTACAATGGGAAGATATTAATTCAAAATAGTTGCTCATAACATACTGATATATCGATTGAAGAATCATCTCGATTGGAGCATTTTTATAAAATTGACCTTCAAATGACCTATAATAGTTTATCAATATTGTTGTGCCATGGTTATCAACAGTTCTGTGATTTAATAAAACTTCTATAAATGTTTATAAATGATGATATAGATATATATTTATAGTGCCAGTACATTGATTATTGATCATTAAGTAATTTTCAACAACTCATGGTAATGACCTGTAATGGCCAATAGTATTGTTCTGTCAGGTCATGTTCATGAATATCTCTTTAAAGTAATGTTATATATATCCACAGTAAATGTTATTTTACTATTTTACCTGATATCAGGAGTTGGTTTTTATAAAAATATTATCTATTTAGCACCACAATCATTTAAAATGTATTACTTTTACTGGTTGACCTTGAAAAAAATGAAGGAAAAAATTGTTAACAATGTTTACTAATGAAGTATGCAATGAAGGTCGTCAACTCACGAGATGACATTTTGTCTCTGGACTGATTGGTACCTCAAACGCTGATTGGACTAATTTGAAAATATGAGCTCGTGCCAGTTTGAATTTGTCCCGTGGATTGTAACTGGTCCACTTGTATTTTATTCTACTTTGATCTTTACCCGCACTGTGAACGCATTACACCCACACAGGTAATTTGTTTTCGCACAATTTGCCAAACAAAAAAAATACATTGTGTGTCCAAATGTCGACTGACGTCCATAGCGCAACAGCTGTTCTTGGCGGATTACTCGAATAACTGATAAGTCCGCGTTAAACTGGCAAACACTCATTGCTTCCGGGGCGAGGACGAGAGATGACACTTTGCCAGGTTTTCCCAGCGAGAACAAGGCGAAAATATCGCAATATCGTATGTGTGTTGCTTTTTTACACGTGTGTCATCAACGCTGTGTGGTACTGCGTTTTGTCAGAGTTGTGGAACCGGGAGGAAGTCAAAAAATTGGCTCTACGGGAACTCCGTCGATCTAAGGGTATTCTTTACACGGAATCAATAAAGGACCATCCCGTGGACTATTTCATCCACGGAAAGACGCCAAACTCGTCCGGCATTAAAGTCCAAATTGCGCTTGAAACGTCCGTACAGCAGACTAAATATCTGGTTCCGATCTTGCTGGGGAATCAGGGACCAAACAATCAAATGCAAAGCCTGAAGCTCTCAGCTGTCATCGCGGCACACCGCGACAGGACGTTGGTTAGGACACCCTTCTTTGGGCATTTCTCGCAAGACGAGTACAGCGTGAGAAATTTCAACGAAACTCTGGATGTTAGGTTGTTTAATAAGCTCACCCCTACAGAGAGCATTGAGGATTTTTACAGGAACTGTGGCGGGAAAATCGATGTTGTGTTCAGCGGTGTTAACTGGAGCAGTAGCATTACACAGAATACTTATAACAAAACTATGACATATGTGAATACGAAAATGAAAATCTGGTCGGAAATTACGGGTATTGACGTCCCCGACATGTTGAACGAGCCTGATAGGGTCATTGACCTTCCAGATAATATCCCCGATGGATACCACCCTCTCAGAACACTCATTGACACCACCGACATTTTTAAAAGCGACTCAAAGTGTGTCGGTATCGCCTACCCCTATGGAATGCTGGGAAGGTTCTACTACCATGACTACGTCAGCGTCCTCTCCAAATACGTCACTCGCCCACCAGACATCAGGCGTGCCACCAGTAGATTTATGCGAACTGTTTTACACAACAAACAATTTCTCGGATTCCATTGGAGGTATAACAAAGAATGGACGTCACAATGGTGAGTAAATTGACTGAACTTATCAAACAAACAAACACATGTATGAAATACACCACCTGTTGCAGACGACAATGAATTGGTTTATAAAAGTGGATTATCTCCTGACGTCACGCTTTTATCGGCAAAGTAGCCGCATTCAGCAATCAACAACTCTTTAATACGTCATTAAATCTAATTGACAATTTGCCCACGTCACAGAAACAGTTGCTTTAGTTGAAATCATGAATGAAACAATTTATTGACTTGACAGCTGTCAGAAAGTTTGAATTTTAACGGATTATTATTCGTAACAATCATATTTTTCTTGGTCAGGTGTCACAGAAATACTGAAAACGCAAAGCAAAAATGTCGTCTGCTGGACCAGACTTCTAATGACGTCATTATAAAGAGCGTGCAAAGTATCGTGGACGAATTCAACCTGGAAGCAGTGTACCTTGCAACACCACTCGGCGCTAATGTAAGTTTAAGTCTAGACAAGACATCGGGAGAGGATTCATAATAGTTATACATTGTTCTCTTGTTTCGTGACACCTATTAACCAGTTACCCAATCAGGAAACACCTTGTTCGCTTACCCGTACCTGTAAATCACTCCGGTGATGACGGTTCTTTTTCCGATGACTGGTGGGAAAATCATTTTTAGTAATTTAGTTATTGGCCAACTATTACAAAATTTCATACGATGAGTTCGAAATGTCATGCTTATATTTCAGTGTTCCCCCTAAACGAAAACGGTATTCGTTCGATGAAATAATGAACTACCCAAGAGCGCATGCGCTTGAACTAATGGTACGTACCATTAATTCTAAGTGTACGCGCGCACACACCCTAGTTATCTATATTCTATAAAGAGAAGTACCAAGTTCATATACCGAATACTTAAAATAAAATTTTTGTTTGCAGGACCCACTTGTCAACGACCTTCTTACAAAGGTGCCAAATCTATATACAAAGGAGGATCTGTTCGATTCCAACATGAACGAACTGAATACATTAAAACACAATAGCTACCGTTTATCTTTAGTGGAGCAAGAACTTTGCAAACGTATGTATCATTATTGTTTTATACTATATAACTAATTTTTAAATATTTATTTTTGTATTTCGACATAATTGCATGTACTAATATTCAATGCACTCAGATGTTGTAGAGAGGCCGAAAGTGAGACAATTAAATGTCTTCAACTGTGAGTCCCATACGACGTTTACAACACGTATAAAATACTTAAAAGTTTAAATGAGTTTTCGAACGCCCGCTGCGTAACGACAGTGCCACCTACTAAGTAAATTAATTGTCAACGCAACATAACGCATTACTTTAAGTTCCTTTGTATGTTTCTTACAGAATCCACCGTGTTTCTTGCAAGTAGGCTGTCTTCGTGGTCTGATATTGTCGCTGAAGACAGAAATCGTCGGCAGGTGATGTATGTGCCGGATGTGCTGAAAACCTAGCAACAGCGCCCCACACGACGTAGATTGGTGTTATGTTGCAACATAATACGATTAGCGACATTCCATGATCGTGAAGTCTTGTGTATATAGTTTTTTTTTAATAAAATAAAAACGCAAAAAATGAAGTAATGAATATTACAATAATTTTGTGTGTACGCGTTTTTTTTCAATGTGACATATGGACTCGCGATGAGTTGAGGGCGCTATGAAGTGCCTCGTTCGAGATCATACTGTAAAGATGGTTAGACGCTGGTTCCCGGCGTCCATTGCGAATAATACGCAAGACCATGGAAGGCTCTTTTTACCTTCCATGGCAAGACGCACGTAACTAGCGGTAACTGATCCTACCAGAATTCCCACACTATGTCACGTGACTAAGTGTCGTAATTTTAAAATATATTTCAATTTACGTCCAACGTAAACTGCATTAACGCCTTGGCCATTCAATATGAGATGATTTTAGCATTTCTAATAATTTATGAGTATAGCTGACGTCAGTAACCAAGACAAAATGAACATGATAACTTGATTGACCAATCAGAATGCAGGACTATAACAAGTTGATTAGTGTTCCGTCACACTTAAGGTGAAGATGCAGGTGAGTTATTTTAAATTAAATAGCTTCAAATTTAACATTCCCGGACGGTGAGGTGGCGTGTTTCTAAACAAAAAAGAGCGTACGTGCCTGAATGGATGCAAGTAGTGCCGTTCGAAGATTCAAAAAAGCAGCTAAGTTTGGCGGTGTGGTCGTTCGTCGTTTAGACTGGTATAAAATTTCTCAAAAACATTTTTAATGACGGACTCTTACAGATCATTAGAACATTGACGCTGTGGGGCTGTCCTATCATCCATTTACAAAACGATAGAAGCGCTTTCGTTTTCGCTAGAGGGCGCGGATAGGTGTGCTGATGCTTGTTTCAATAACTCTAACGTAATGTTACAATATGATTGTTTGTGTGGTATCATACTAAGCGATAGTTATAATAATAATAATAATAATAATAATAATAATAATAATAATAATAATAATAATAATAATAATAATTAAAATTGCAATGGATCAATAATACAAAATTTCGTTGAAAATAAACAAAACTGGATGAGACGTGCGGGCGTTTATCACCGAACCATTCATCATTGTTCCCAACAATAAGTAGATTTTGTACTTCGAACTGAACATTTAAAATATTAATTTATATCGCATCTGTGAT